AGAGAATATTACTGTCTCTCAAATGTTAGTTTATTACATTCTCTCAAACCATTAAAATGCATGGAATATCACCAATCTCAATGATTCTTATTTTTTAATTCGAATATATTGAGCCTTTTCTTTTTTAAAGTTAACCTCTGGAGATTATGTGGTTCTTTCGATCTTGTCAGACAGTTCAAAATAATTTTTTAGCCATCACCTACCAAACACTGCCATGTCTACTTTCAATTATATTGATCAAAGAATCATTATAGGTATAGGTTTTTCTAGTAAAAGTAATCATGGAGAACACTCTGGGATTTGTGTTGATTTCTGTATGGAGAAATTTTTTTATCTTTAGGTAACTTGGATAGAGAAATTTTCTTCCAGTATTGTTAGCTACATGCATTTTTGAACAGGGAAAGTGATTCCACCAAATTAAAATGCAACAAAACAAACCCAAGTGATGATATGACCATTCATTTATGTGGTTTCCATGGACATATAATTCACTATCAGATTAGAATAATAATGCAGCCTGGGCCCCTAAATTGGGTAGCAAAAGTTTTTGCTTCATATCAGATATTACAAGTGCATGGCAACTTATTGTTTGCCCCCCAACTAAACTATACCTTATATTATTAGAGAGAGAGAGAGAGAGAGAGAGAGAGAGAGAGAAACACATGGAAAATTTAACACTTCTGGCAGTAAATAGTGACTTCTTCTATGAAGTAAATGTCTCTTTCACTCTGCAATGATGGGTTTTGAAGCTGGGATGAGTGCTTCTCTGATGTGTTGTTGATCCTCCAAATCATCAGATACTTGCTTGGACGGCTTAGATGGTTTCCAGTATATTGCATAGAGAATCAGCTGAGCAGTACCAAATAAAAATCCAGTCCCATTTGGAATCTGCAAATGATTGAACAATGTGTGGGACAACATATTAATTAGAATCAATGAGTATTTCATAGAATAGGTGATGTTGGTAGGAAACTTACTCCAACAAACAAGTCTTTTGCAAGAATGGCATAGAGTGTCCAAATCCCTCCATTGAGGAAAAGGATGAATGAGAGAAGAAAAGGCATGTATTCCACACTCTTTAGTGCCACCACAGTTTTCTGTACATTAATACAAAGTTTAACATAAGTATGTTAATAGATCTCAACCGGTTAGTAAGTTAATACGAAAAACAGTACTCATTCGAGAGGAACAACACAACAGTTCATATTTGCCAGAGTAAATGTAACAAGTCTAAGATTCTGAAAACTTATCAGCTGATGTTTCTCCTACCATGGCTGAAAGAGGGGAAGCATATGCAATCATGCTGAAGACGGAACACAAAAGTCCTGCTGCGTCGATCCGCTGATCTCCATGTAGCAGAAACTGAGTAAGCAAAATTGCTGCTGCTGGAAAGGCTACATTAAGAGCTACAACAAGCATGGCAGTCCTGGCCTAAGATCATATACCACCATGAAACAGATCAATGCAAGAGCAACTTGAACACTAATTAATCTCAAATACTTTGTATGGTAGAAATAGATAAAACTTACCTTCATTCTTGGTGGTGCAAAAAGTAGAAATATGGTAAGAAAAACGATCTCCACAACGGCACCAAAAATATTGACCGTGGCCACCAGCACGCTGTTTGGCTTAATAAGTCCATAGTAAACCCAGAAATAGGCGTTCAATAACTTGCTAACATAAGGAACACTCTCAAATTCCTCAGTTGATCTACGCCTCAGAATTCGCACGAACACATTTCTACATCAATTCCAAAAACAAAAACAAAAAATCATTGAAATCAAATCTGCACAAAAACTAACAAAACCAAGATGTTATAAATTGCAAAATCAATGAGCTCACGCAGGAGAGACGTAGACTAATCCCGACATAACGTTACCTGAAAGTACACATGCAGATTAATACATATTTACATCAATTCATATGAACTCAAAAACAAAACAAAAAACAGAAAAGAGAGATGTACTGTTAATACTTACCTAGCAACCCAAAAATGACAACGAAATTTATTGCCATGCTGAGGAAGATTGATGAAGTACTAAGCCTCAATCCTGCCAGCAATAAGAAAGAAGAAATCTATATTTCTGGCAGGAATTAAGACTTCTGTTTAATCTGCCGGGCTTGAAGAGTAGCACTGGAGTTGTTTTATTGACTTCTCTTCTTTGGAATCTAAAGTCGCTGCAGTTAACTTGAGCTATTGAGAGCATGATGCTGTCTGTACGTTCTTGTGATATTGTATGCCTGATTGCTGTGCTGATGTTGCTTTATCAAATTATTAGTTGTCATTTTAACTTTTCTTTGCTGCATATACATAATTAATTAATTAATGTTTTATTCTGCATGGGTCGCTTTTATATCAACTCGCAGCGCACGCCAATCTGTCTTAGTCTAGCTGTTTTTTACCATGTACCGACTACTTTTAAATAACATTATGAGACTGCGGTATTTGTCTTCACTTGGTTAGAGGAGATGTCAAGTTCGACTCAGATAGACGAAGTCAAAGACGATATATGTATTTGTGATAGTGTATTGACCTGTTATAAAAGTATCATGTAATTATCCTATCATTTATCAAAATAAAGAAGACACAACGAATTCTTAACCAAGCTTTTGTCTTTTATAACGGTTAAGCAAAACAAAATGCAAGTAAACAAAGGGAAAAAGAAAAAGTTGCTCTCGGTCTTTTACTGGACTAAGACAGAATCGCTTGCATTGTGCCATTAGTTAAGGAGGGAGCTTTATTGTCTGCGATTGTCATCCAGGTAAGCTGCTGAGGCCAAACACTTGGTCGTGTGGCGCTTTACGCTTTACTTTGGTTCACTGATATGTCTGACCAATCTGGTCTTTACATCCATAATATATCGCATCGAAACAGAAACAGAGGGGGAGAGGGAGGTAATTACTTGGTAAGCATCCATCACATAATCCCAAAAGCAA